CTTATCCTGATTAATCTTCTCCATCATTTTCCTGGCAACTTTTTTTCAGTCTTTTAAAATCATTTAAAATACCATATATATATATATTAAAAACATAATTTTGCTTAAACGCGTTCCTAATATCAGTAAAATATTTACATGTCTCCACATAATGCTCCGCAGTGCCCGGTTCTTTACAGATATCACAGAGGTCAGACTCTTGTAATTTAAATCTTTTAAACTAGAAAGGAAAACGGCCATGACCTATAATGATTTGGCTAATGTCAATGTCTGAATAACATAAACCTTTTTTAGGTTTAACAAATTTCATATAACCTTTTTTTCGATCAGACGTTTCCCACTCTTCCCTCCATTTATCAAAAATATAATTTTTCATAATAGTCACAGCTTTCCTTGTTCATCCCTGAACATCAATATCACGAGCATTAACATCGATAATGGCCTTCTTGGCCAGTGCGTCCGCCCTCTCATTCGACCAAAGTACTGTAATGAATTAAGATGGATTTCATTGGTATTCAGTGTAGAACAAATGAAAACCACTCTCAATTAACAACTATTATTTTCTGGGCGATAAACTCCATCGTAGTTTGAAAAATAAGCTACATCAGGATGATTTTCCTCTGCAACTTCTCTCTAACCTAGCCTCCGACAGTCCTTCAGAAAACTGCGATACAGTAATAAATATTCTGGCTCTCTTTGTGAACGAATCCACAGTAACTTGAGCGTTTTAGAAACAGTGCTCCTAGACTGACTGCAACCTGAAGGGACACCCATGAGAAGCATTGGCAACAACCTATCTAAGTTCTTCATTTCTCCAATGTGACCGCAAAATATCCCCTGGATAGAGAAGCCTCCTTACATTTTGTTAATTCTACCTCCATGTTCTCATTTTCCCAAAATTTCTGCAACATATAATTTAAGTCCTCTTTCTCGAACTAAACCGCAATGAATTTTAGTCTCATTTACCTACTCCATGCTGCCATTAGCAACGTATTGGAATAACACTTGTAGGATTCTCCACTGTGTAATTCTAAGTTAGCGTTGAAAGCGAAGAATCTTAAGAATTGATAAACGAATAATCGCTTGAGTTCGTGTGACGCGAAACAAGACAGAAGGGTAAAAAAACCCTTTATTATTCCAAGTAAAGTTGACAGAACACCGTCTTGGAGTTGTACAATGGCCCCTTAACGCTAATTGACTGCGAAGCTATCAAGGGCCTAATGTACGGCCGAGCGAAATAATAGCTTACGAGAGAGTAGCGTAAAAAGGCGGACGCGTGCAGCCAGAATATCTGATATCTCTCTTAATAAGACAGTAGAACTTCGCGGTTAAATAACGCTCTCAAAGAGCGACTGTTGTATATAGGGGATCCAATCGCCAAATTCTGGGTGAAGAGAATCGTCATTAAACTTTAGAGATATTAGGTTAACTAGAAAAGCCGGAGTGTTGAAAAATTAGCAACCGCCTTCGCCGGGAATCGAACCACGGACCTCTAAACTACCGGCTCAGTGTGCTGACCACTAGACCACGAAGGCACGCTAGGAAGTCGGGAGAAATACCTTATAACATAAAGGATTAACACAGATAATCATTAACATGGTATTCTAAATTCTGTTCAGAAAAAATGAAAATGTGGCACTCTGAACCGCTAAAAGAATATACCAGAACTTCATGCTCAGCGAATTTCCCACATTCATATTCTTTTTTAAAAGAATGCGACTTTTATTAAATAAATATAATATTTCCAAAGTTTCAATTATTTTAATGTATAGACGTTTTGGTTAAGCCTCTAAAGATTTGAATGACTTATAAAAGACAGGCTCAGATTGCATTTGAGCCATATGTAGGACCTGAAAGCAGTTGGGTTCAGATATGTTTTAAGAATACTTAAAACAACAAACTATGTTTTAGCATAATTTCAAATTTCCCTTAATAGGTTTTCTTCAGAACATACATAATTAAACAAAATTACTAAAAAATGAAAAAATTTCAAATTAATCTTGCTAATTTTCCATTTGTAAAAAATTTGTATTGGTTACATTTCGTAATTTAAATGTACTAGCCTTTAAGAACTTAATATTTGAATTGTCCTTTATTTCAAATACTTCTAATATGTTGAATCATCAATTAAATGACTTGCTATTAACAAAAACATAAAAAAAATTAAATTATGAAAACTTACAAAATCTTCACAGAAAACTTTCCGGTGAAAAAATACTTAAAGAAACTAATAACGACAATCTTTTCTCTACGTTTTCAATGCTTTATTGACACTGGAAGAAAAATACTTAGGATTGCAAGTAAATAATTATAAATTTGTTACTTTTTAACTATAGCTTGACACCTGATGGTGTTTAGAGTTTTTTAGCCTTTGTAGCCTTAGAGAAAAATTACTGAGAGGCACCTTCATTATGGATGGCAGATATTCATTGCTCAATCGGTCTTTTTTGTTAGATTTGTTACATTTCAACTGGAAAACAATCTGTTTACATATATATGTACTTTCAATCAAAGCGGTTATTATTATTGCAAAAATTCTCAACAGAGGATATTTACCTTTTAACAACTACGAAAAAAACGTTAATCAGATCCGTGTTCGAATCAGTGAACAAGATTTATATCAGATTGTAAATCTATTAGTTACAATACGCGACAAGATCGCTACCGTTATACCACGAAGGCATGCTGAAGGAGTGTGATAACACATTGTAGAGTTCAATTTGTGCAGTAAACGCTCTGAAATATGTGCTTTTATTATTCGAGGCATAAAATTGTAAATGAATTCTTTAAAAAGAGTTATTTAATCTATTTTTCCCCACTAAAGTATATGATAAATTATTTTTCTCCTTTTAATGCATTAAATATCCTTTTAAATAAAAGTTTATTATAGACTTTCTTTTAATTATATTTACTATAGCTGTAAATGTGCTATTTCAAGACGGTGTATCACGATGAAATTCAAAATAGAAAGTTAACAATCAAAATTTATATTTTTTATACGTATTTCTAAAATACTGAATTTGACGTTGAAATGAGGTTAGTGCCGCCACATGCCCCACCCTTGCCCATGTTGTGCAGAAAAATATATGATAAACTGAATTTCAGAAAAAGTCCACACGCAAACTAAAATAACATTAGAAAGCTTCTTCACATATCTCTAAATACACTGTTCTGTCAAAATGTTATCTTTTTCCTCATATTTTAAGTGGATTTCATCCTTGGGATCAAGGAAATAAAACTGTATTAAAAGACATATTATTTTATGTAAATTTACGTATTTGAGCTTAAATGAATGTGAATTTTTTAAATTCAATGTACTATTTTTCAATGAATACAGAAATGCTTTCTAGTTTGAGATTTAATAATTCATAAATATTTTTGCTTTGCTTTCTATATGAAATTCTAATTCTAATTTTCTTTTGGCTTTAATTTCTAAAAAAAAAAAGACAGAAAAAAATTTCAGTTCCGTTTAAAAAAATATTTCTAGAACTCTTTACTCAGATACTTATAACTATTCGTTGTAACTGGAATTAATTTTATTCATTCAAAATACGTTGTTATAAAAATATTTTTTACTCGTAACAAGATGGATAGTTCCTTAAATGCACTTATAATAATATTTTGTTGAAAGACGCTTGCCTATTCACCTCATGCCTATTTTATATTTAGACTACTTAAATTTGATATTTTATTTAGAAATCAAGTTCTCCTTATTATTTATACCCAAACTTTTAAAAGCAAAATTCATATGTCTTTCAGAGGTACTCAGGCTAAGAGAAGATATTAAGCAAGTTTATACTAATTGTTTCTATACAGCCGAAAAGCAGGGAAAATCGTGCAAATTTCCAATAATAAATTCTGTCGCATCGAAAATTTATTTTCCGGTGTTGAGGTTAGAAAAAGTTTCGAGTTAAGGAGAAAGAAGTCTGAAAACGAATAATACATATGCATTAAATTTTCACAATTGCCGTAATAATGTAAATAAGCACGTACGATATTAAATAAAACAAATTATTTGGTGCAGGTTACGTAAATGGAATTGAAGATGCTGGGGACTTCATTTTGATGAAAGGCATCGTAATTTTATGTAAAATAAGAAAGCAGATGCAATGCCAACAAGTTTCTCAAACTCCTAGCTTGCTTTGTATTGAAATTAGGAATATAATAAGTACATTAACTCGACAGGATATTAATTTCTTCGTGCCTCTGAAATGGCTGCAAATTCCACATGTAACATGCTATTTTTTTTGGTTTTTGCGTGTCTTAAACGACTGATTGAATGTGTCTTTTTTATTCAAAGAATAGAAGCACAACACAGCCAAATTTATCGGCGATTTTCGAGAAAAATAAACAAACATTCAATAGCTAATCCTATTTGGAAAGTTGGCAAAATTTCCGTTTTCGATCTGAGAAAATTATCCATAAGATTCCTCAGATCATGAATTGAATTTCTCTAGAAGCGTTTCAAATCCACAACTATTTATCTTCTTCATTAAGGATTAACTTGAAACCTTGTCTTCCTAAGGCTTTTATAATTCTGGTACCTCCATGTTTCATGTTTTCGTAAAAATATATTGAAGAAATCTGTGATATCTCTGAATAATTTTGCGGTTTTTTTCCCTGAAAACGAGGGATCTGTATCCGACGGATGACCTTTTGTAGGAAACTTACTTTAAATTAAAGCTGCTGTTTCGCCTCATTTAAAACCTTATATGGGCGTATCTCTTATTCAATTTAATTAATACGTACTCTGCTCAATTTTTGTTTAATTTTTCAAATAATCAGGGCGGAAAATTCTGGCTTAGGGACATGATTTACAAAAGATTAGTACAGCAAAACGATAAGTGCAGGAAAGATATTGTTTTTAAATGTTGTCGAGTATATCGAGTATAATTCGAAACCAAAGTACCACTAAAGTTTGCATTAGGGAAAACAATCGTTGCGGAAGTAATAAATCCATGTTCTGTTGTATATCCATAGTAATAAAATTAAAGGAAACATTTTAGGCTAACATTAGAATATTTTATTGTTTCATATTTTGGAAACTCTTGCCAAAGAGAAAATAGTTTTTGAAACTTTGACTAACATGATATTGAATAAAATTTCAGCATATTTTAGAACTTTCCTTTTATCTCTGTAAACAAGGTTTATAGAAGCAGAAGAAACATATTCAGACGTCTTCTCTGAGATCTTTCAAAATCCTGGAAGAAAAACATTAGTAATTAGTATAGAAAAAACTAAAGTAGGGATAGCTATGAAGTAACTAATTTGTATGCTTGAATAATAAAAATATTTGCTTTTTTTATTAATGTTAAGTGCACATATTAGTTAAATTATTCTTAATTTTTTCTTTTATATAATGCTCAATATTCACGCTAAAAGTATGATATAAAATTATTGATAACAAAATAAAAGAATTTTTTTATTAGTCAGAATTTAACATTAGCTTTAAAATTTGCCCCGAATCGTCTCGAAAAATAGTAGAGTGAGAACGTAAAATTCTAAATGCATATGTCTATTTAAGTAGTATAGATTTCAAACTGAGAATACAAACTTAAATTAAGAGACGCTGTCTTTAGCGTTTACCGTAAAAAAACTGTAATGCGGGAGTTCTCTTCATTTAACTGGAATCCATTCGATTTCGTTTTCATTCAATAGCAATTGCGCATGTAAACAAAATCTATATATTTCTAATCTTGTTGTTATTTAAATTGTCATTTCAAGAGATGGGAAGATTAATGTCCTTTTCCTCTCTTAGCTTCTTTTGCTGGTTTCTCAGTTATATGCGTTCCATATATATTTTTCGCTGTATGTCAGCGCTAGCTTTGGGAACTCAGTTGGAATGTAATGATTGCTGAAATACTTGCTAGTTCTTTTCTATTTTTTAAAAAGAATAATACATTACGATCCACCGCTCATTGCATTTATGCTATATCGAAAATCTATAAACACTATATTAAAACAAATACACAGCTAAAAATTATTGGCGGGCCGTATAAAATTGCTCTGGAGACCGTATGCTCCCCGCGACCAGCAGGCTTGAGAGTACGGCTTTATTTGATCTTCTAATGCGAAGTTCTCATGAGATTTTGTTCAGGACTTCAGACAGACTGGCAAAAATAGTTAGCAACCTTGGCTACCTAACAGTATAATCTGTGGAGTGTTTAATACAATATTTATATACCCACATGGCAGAAACAAAGTAAGATGGGAAGAATATTAAGGAGTTAATCATATATAATTCCTAAATAAATATGTTAATCTATTTTTTTATTTCTAGTATTAGTTCAGCAATATGAAAAACTAAATATAGATATGAAGTTTACATCAAAAATGTAAGTTCATGGAAAGAGAAATCAGTTAATGAAGTATTTTATGAAATATGTTTAAGCCATAACCTAAATTCCTTAGTTAAATGGATAGTAAGCGCAAAGTTTTAAAAATACCTTCACCGTCTTTAAGACAGAGAATTATTTTTACGAATAAATTGAACATGAGAGCAGTCGAAGCATTGATTAAATAACTTCTACATCTGGAAAAGAATAGAACATTATTGCTTCCTCTTGATTTACTTGTCTAGCAAACGGAATAATCTGGCATGATTTTATTTTAAAAATATAAAATCCATACCAGCGCATGATAGAAAAAAGTTATAGCAATAAAATTTTCTATGAGAATCTGTTTTAAATTCTCCATAGAATCCTTTCAATGCACTGGGAAATTTAAATATATGAAACCTCTTTTAATTTAATTAATTTTTTATCTATAATTTGCTTATGCGAAAGAATTTTGTTACTGTACTACAACAAATAGCATTAATTATATTAAAGAAAGTTTTTCACCTGGTGAAACCGATTTAGTTTCTTTCTTAGTCTGATAGAATAGATCCGTCCTTTTTTCGTGGTCTGCTTTCCTACTTTTGTAATTGAAAATATTAATGGTCATCAGTGAGCTTTTGATAATCATGAACAAACTCAGTTTGGACTCCAGTTACGCATCTTAGTGCAAGAAAACAAAAACAGCTTGTATTACTAATTTATGACTGACAGAGATCCTCCGTATTTGGGAAAAGATTTGCTTAATCAAGCAACCGCCAGAGAATTAAATGTGTCGCAGCATTCTTTGTACTCTAAATTAAGAAATTTATGATAAAATCGGGCAGTGAAATATTCCAAAGATTTTAATAAGTCATTTCTTTTAGATAAGGTTTCGTTAAGCAAACCAAAATAATTTACAAAGAATTTCAAATTTATTATTTAATTTCAAAATTAATACATCATTTTAATTTATTAAATATATTATATATAAGTCTTAAAATATAAAACAAAAAGTACTTATTTCGAATTACACATAATATATATATATTGACCTACATAATAAAAAAGTGATTTATTTGTAAAGAATATATTTACAAAATTATATGTATAGAGTTCCGAATTACCAACTTCGAAATGCTGTCACCTTAACTAAATAAACAATACAATGTAAAACCTATTGAAATGACTAAGAATCATGTGTTTGCTTATTTGAGAATTAATGAAATGTGACACGCGTGTTCGTCTTAATTGGTAATACTCTCCTCTATTTTGCTGAAACAGATTAAACCACGCTATATTTCTCATCCTAGAAGATCTTAGATAGTCTTAAAAAAAATTTAACTTACAAAAGAGGCTTTCATCTTTTTACCAACTATTTCTCTTCATCAGATGAAGATAAAAAATGTGTAACAGAACTCCTTAACTGTAACCGAACTCTTTTATTGAATGCCATCTTAGTGGTGAAGAGGACGAATCGTCAGTCAACCTCCAGCCGCGGTGATGATAGGTTTCCATGTATTAGATGTCTCTGTAATTTTAATGTTTGATTTATGTTATTATTTAATGTTTGTAATTTTTATGTATATTTTGTTTGCACCCGTTCCTGCGTGCTCTATCAATAAATACTATTAGAGCTGGCCGGCGTCAGAGTTTATTGAGGAGCGGCTACATTACAAATTGTTGTATTTGAATTTACGTAAATATTTCGCGAACACATTTTATTATTTTTCAAAATTAAATTTAATATAGGAATGCTATATTTTGCATTCTTGTTCCCTGCTCGGCGTAATAAAAAATTATATGCTTATCTATTATAACAACATAAAGAAGTAAATATCAGCATGGGTAAATTTAACAATGAAGTGAGAGAGAAAGAACGATAGTCTTGCTGCCGAGATCTGCATAGGTATATAACGCAGTACAAATAATGCATAGGTATATAACGCAATACAAATCCGCAATACAAATAATATTGGTAGGATATACCATTATTGAGGAACAGTTCGTATATTTCATACCTGGAATTGTGTTTTTGTGAACAACATGATTAGATTTCATAGCCCTCATGACATTTCAGTCGCCAGAAATCGGGATTCTTTTGATCACGGCATGCACTCGACGGTTTTCTACTTGAGGACACGATCGCTTTGTGGAAACTATTTAAAAAAAACTGGTTCGGATTCATTTAAGGCTGCAATCGCATTATGTTTCGGCTACGCGGGACTTGACGTCGAAAGGGAGAGTTCTGAGAATTCGCACAATTCCAGGAAAGTCACGTAACTGGGTTACCATTTTCACTTACTACAAATACTTGAACGCAAACAGTAATCGATTACCGCTCAGATTGGGATCACATGATGCTTCAGAAGCAGAACTTTCGTCTGATTGGTTGTCTCTACCCGAGACAGAGGTCCAGCCGAGACATTTTCAGTGCGGTTTGAGAAATTTCTGCTTAGCCGCAACATCGTTTCCGTAGCTGGGCGGGACTTTGCTTCAGGCGGAGATCTTTTTTCTAGGAATCATCCCGTTCAAAACTAGTGCTACCAAATCTCGTTTCTCAGAAAAGTCGAGTTTAGCAGGAACTGTAGCAAAGTGTGATAATCTCTTTACACATGGTCACAAACATAAAAACGCCCTTGTCCTGTCCATTTGAAGAATCCGGTCTAGCTACCGGTTTTAGTGTGTCCCTTCAGTTTTTAAATCCTAATGCTATGTAGCCGTTGTGAAATGTTTGAAATAATATTAATAATAAAGTTTTCTATGCAACTTACACATCTTTTTTTTTTTTTTTTTTTTTTTTTTTTTTTTTTTTTTAATTAAACAAATTCTGCGGGAAAATTGTATAACAATCCAGTATCTGATCTCTAGGATTTATAGAACTCATTCATAAAGAGTGTCAATAACATAAGATTGGTGCTAGTTCCCATTAAACCAATGGATATATATGATGCTACCTAGGTTCCCTTTCTGTGCCTGCTGTCAGCAAAATTTGAGGTTAAATAAATGCCCGTCCATCTTCAGCTTTCGACCATAAAAACATCTAAATTACGCCTATTAATTCATTACATCCACGAAATTGTTCTGGTGATGATAATAACTTTTGTTAGACGTGTTTCACTTTTGTAGCACAATGAAATCTAACACGCTTGTTCGTCTTAATTGGTAATACTCTCCTCTATTTTGCTGAAACAGATTAAAAACACGCTATATTTCTCCTCCTAGAATATCTTATATACTCTTAAAAACAAATTTAACTTACAAAAGTGGTTTTCATCTTTTTACCAACTATTTCTCTTCATCAGATGAAGATAAAAAATGTGTAACAGAACTCCTTAACTGTAACCGAACTCTTTTATTGAATGCCATCTTAGTGGTGAAGAGGACCAATCGTTAGTCAACCACCAGCCGCGGTGATGATAGGTTTCCATGTATTAGATGTCTCTGTAATTTTAATGTTTGATGTTTCATTTTTATGTATATTTTGTTTGCACCCGTTCCTGCGTGCTCTATCAATAAATACTATTAGAGCTGGCCGGCGTCAGTGTTTATTGAGGAACGGCTACATCACAAATTGTTGTATTTAAAGGTTTACGAAATTACCTAAGTACATACAAACACTGCACACTTACCTAAGACATACCAGAATTTATTTTCAAACAGGAGCCATAGGCTGAGGTTCTGGATCCGGGTCAGGCATAGCCTGGATGATAGTCAACGCTGCCATCGCCAGGACTGCGAGGAAAACTAGACTTCGTCTCAGAAACTCCATTGTTTAGATGCACAAAATTAATCCGTATAAATATCTTACCTTGAGGTTGTCCTTTTATACTAAACTTGAGCTCGAAAAATGCGCAATATCATAAGACTAATTAAAGACAATGCAAGAGGATTCATATTAAACGCCAAGTGATTTGTGAAATATCACGTCTGTTGCAAGAAATTGCAGATCTTTATTAGAAATTTATTCAAACAAAGGGATGTTTTTAAATACCAACGGGCGATGATTTGTTTATTTGGATGACTCAACACAGCTTCATTATTTCACATCCCAAACAAATATTTTTTTTAGGAAGACAAAATGCAAAATCATCTGAGATGAAAGTAAAATTATCATTTTTTTTTTGTTTTTTTTTTTTAATTTATTTGTGAAATTTGAAATTCTCAAAAAAATTAACCCTTCAAGCATTACGGGTTCGGCCTTGAAATTTCCTCAAAATATCGTGAATAAGTTTATCTTACTTGATTAGAATTCAGATATGACTCTTTCACTTTGCATTATGATTCCTTTACTTGCAATATACATCTCAGCCGAAATTGGATAAATCAGGGGGATGGCAGAAAGTTTTGTTTGTAACGAATTGGAAAGCCATCCTTCTTAACAGCCTAGCTCTTGAAAGAGCTTAAACTAAATATGGCCCTAATTTAAAATTTTCTCAAATCTGAAAACATAAATTGTATTGAATCTGTGCAAGCTTTCGAATTTCGCAGATGCTTCATATAATAATAAGAAAACATACTTTTACTCAATATTAAAAAAGTTGAATGAAAAAATTTTGAAAGCCGTATTTGACGAAAAGCAAATTTTAAAAACACATTTCTTAAATGCTCTTATAGAAAGATACCAATAAAATTTCACAGATATGTATATAATTAAAACACTTGAATCTTGAGATTAACTTGATAAGTAAAAATTGAAAAAAGTATTTGAATATTAGTTAAAATTCTTTTCAGTTTTAAAAAAATCTTTTAAAATAAACGCAAAGGAGAGGCAGTTAGTTATATCAAGGATTAACATAGATAAATGTTAATGCAGTACTTTACGTTCTGTTTTAAAAAAAATTAAAATTCGGCACTCAGAACGAGTCGAAAATTATACTCGTTATACATACTTTCGAACTTGCAATATTTCCGATCTTTTTTTAAAGAACGCGCTTCCTTTACAGTAAATAAATCTAAAATTTCCAAAGTTTTGAATTATAAGAGTTAAAAATTTTGAATTCAATCCTAAAATGATTTGGAAGATTTACAACATGTCTGAACATTCGATTTATCGAATCAGGAATCTCATTCATATTCCAAGGATTCAGGTATATAAAATTTTATCCTTTAATTTCAGTGGTCTCATACTTAAACACTATACGGGTTGCATGCACGACCTAAAACAAGCTGGGAAGCAGGTACTGTTTAAGAAAATTGTAAACAATAAGTAAATTTTAACTTAATTTTAAAGTTCGCTACTATGTATTCATGAAAAACCTACATAAACAAATAATAAAAATAACGTCACTGAAATTTTCAATTTCTTCGTCCATATTTTCTGTCTGTAACAAATTTGTCTTGATTACATTTTATAATGTAAGTGTCCTAACAGCCATATATTACGTTTTTGTGCTGACACTAATTTCAAAAAATTCAAATCTGTTCAAAGGACCACTAAATAGCTTGCTTTTCGCACAAACTTAAAATGAACAAGTTAGGAAATCTTACCGAAATTTTACAGTTAAATGTTCCCCAGTGAAATAAAACGAGAGAAATAAATAACGATAATATATTCTCTTTCCTTTAATTATTAAATTCTTTCCCATCCGGATATCACTTTAAAGTTACGACTATTTAACATAATGAATAAAGGTACTTCCTACAATACAAATACTTATAAGGAAATTCAAAATGTGCAGTAACATATTTAAATCTGAATTACTTACGTAGCGTAAGATTGTTCATCGTGGCATTGGTAAAATATAAATTTTTCAAATGCAGCTTTTAAAAATAATCGAGTTCATTTTTACATAAACAACACGGATTTTACTAGTTTTATCATAATGCGCACTGGTGATTCGACCCCAAAGAATACTTCTTAAGTTACTAGATCATCAACCACTCTAATATACATCTATATGCACATTAGTCTTTTCATATCTCCGTTTGTTGTGTTGTTCTAATTGACTTAGATAATTACGGTGGCACTCTCCCCAAATGGACTGCACAATTTTTCTTATTCCCTGCCATTTTTTAAAGCAACATTCATTTACATAAGTTAAATGTGACTCAGTAATAGAATTCATTATCTGTTTATTAAAACGTGAGCAGAAGTTGAAGCTCCAAATTCATCCTAGTTAGCAGGCAATAGGCAGAGGAGTATTGAATTCAAAATTCCTTCAATTTGTACAATTGCCGTGAGGAAGTCGTCATAAGTTACATTCACACTCTTTACAACTCATTTAAAATGGTAAGTTTAGAGTCTTCTTGTAAATCTGTTAGTTGCTTCCAGGTAAGCTTTGCGTCCTTAATAAAGATGGGGGGGGAAGCTTAGCCCTTCTCTTCGGATATTGCATGTAGTTTTAGCTCGAGTTTGAAGGAATTTCCAGGATGGTTGCCTGGGATGAGTACTGATTTGACAGCCCTTGATCTGAAGCAGCGTCAGAAGCGCTGCTCTCCAAGTCTCGCGCCGCAGTGGAAGACTCAGGTGCAAATGCGTCACTTGTATCCGGCTCCTGGGTTTAAGCCTCATCCTGAGTAGAACAACATAGCGCTCGCATAACTTTAGGTACCATAACATGAATATGTCCATGGCTGAGAAAAGAATATCTCGATGTGTGTGGGAGATGAGTCTTTCGTATATTCGAGTTTCTCCGCTAGCCTATGTCAATGGGAATAATTGAAGGAATGCCGCAGTGGAAGCGGGGTTCTTAGCAGACGGTCTTTTGGGCAAAGATCCAGATATGTGATCCTTTCTTCCTGAATTCTCCATCTTCGTCGGTGAGTCATATGGTGATAAGTGACGGGGGACGTGGGCACTGTCCCTTTACCATAGTGGTTAATCAGTACAGCAACACGCCCACCATTATTTAGAAACAGCTTTAACATATGTAACTAGCATTACAAATAAAGCATATTACGATGTACATAGAAGGAGTAATTACATCTACAAGAAAAGGATATAAACTATATAACATATGTAATATTTACTGATTGTTCTGTTACCACACTACCTTCACAAGTGATGTTATACCAGAGGTACATATACATATGCACAATAAAAATGCGTGCTCATATAATATGACATATAAGATAAAAATAGTACACTAGTTCAATATAGAAATACGGATGTAATACATAGAGCAAAGCGCAGTAATGGAATGTACAGTCATACGTAAAAGACATGCAAATAACTTGCAAATTACTATATGGTGAAACTACTATATGAGAAGTGATTGCAATGTTACAGTTGAAATATTAATACAACATGTACGTATTTATATAGTGTTACTATTGTGGCATGAAACGATGTACATAGCAGGAGTAATTAATCTCGAGGATGCAAATATAAACAATATAACATATACAGATTGTTATGCGACCAGATGGCATTCGCAATAATTATGTTATACCAGAGGTACGGATATATGTTGGACGATTTGTACGACCTGCATGACATGTGAGAACTACGAGCTAAATGATACAACACAGTTACCATACAAAGTACAGGTTACAATATTACGTACAGACCGATTATAACAACGCTGTTCATGTGAACTATAACATAAAATACAATAATACACTGGTGTGCGAAAATTAAGGACGAGACGGTTTTTTCAATATA